TTTAAAATACAGATTTAGATGTGTCGTACTTCTCGCCTACGGCTAAAAATCACGGTTTTAAAGAAGAAAAATAATTCCCGGTCCGGTCTAGGAATTTTTCGGGTTGGAAAATTTCTCGACTTTCCTGGGCATAGAAGTATGATCAACAATCAATACGAAACTAACGATTTTAAATTGGCTCACTATTTGACTAGCCTATTGGTCCCTAGCAAACGATTAACGTACCCCATTCTAGTCGAAATTCTAGTACTACACAATGTTTGTTTTGATTCGCTATGAAAGTTTGACAGGTAAAATTAGGGGTTATTGGTTTTTCCTATGTTTCGAGGGGTGAATCGATTAGCTTGGGACCGAAGAGAGTACCAGAGCTGAGCCAAAAAGTGGAGCACGTTATTTCGGGACCTTCTAGTCTTAGAGTTACTCTTATGGTATGATTGGACTTGCCACACAATTATGCCAATGCAAAAATGGTACAGGCATCGAAAGTTCTCAATTAATAACTTTGGAAGTGCATCTAAAACACTAAGTTTAGGGCACGCAATAAGCTAATATGCGATATGCATTAAGGTTGAAATGCGAAGAAGAAGAAACAGAAGAAGAAGAAGTAGGTACATTATATACTTAGAGAATAGCAGATCCTTTGTGTAACCAAATTAATATGAATAAATTCATTCTCATTTGAGCCTTCAGCCACAACAGTTTACTTTTTAAAAACCTCTCTCCGAATGTCTGATAATTATATGGCGCAGTCGGTAGGATGCGCAAGTGCTAAGTGCGAGTTCTTGAAGTAGTTAATCCCTGAGTACTGCGGAGTAATCGATTTCATTTTGCAAGCCAATGGAAAACTGCTTGAAAATTTGTTCAAGTTTAAAATTGTTTTGTTCTTTCTGAGTTGATTCCCGCCAAAAGTTTGTTTACAAACATGTTTCGCCAGGGTATGTTTTACTGCAATTGAAAACTCAGCTGAGTCATAAAAACTATGCTGGTTTTTATACTTTCATCATTGAGCTTACAATTAAGAATGTGTTATGAAAAAGTATGAATCATTTTTATGAAATTGCAATGCTTGACGAGAGGTAAGAACAGTAACTGAGTTTGTTGCTTCTGAATGTTTGGCTCCCGTTTGACAGTTCTGACTGGCTCCCAAGTGACAAGCACATTGAGTGAGTCCGCAGTACCCATGTTAATCCTATTCGCGCGAGTTATACCACAGACAGACATACAAATTAGAACCGTTGTACCAACAATCAATACGAAACTAACGATTTTAAATTGGCTCACTACTTGACTAGCCTATTGGTCCCAAGCAAATCGATTAACGTACCCCATTCTAGTCAAAATTCTAGTACTACACAATGTTTGTTTCGATTCGCTATGAAAGTTTGACAGATAAATTGAGGGGTTCGTGGATTTTCCTATGTTTCGAGGGGTGCATCGATTAGCTTGGGACCGAAGATAGTACTAGAGCTGAGCCAAAAAGTTGATCACGTTTCTTTGGGACCTAATCGATGTAATAGATCGATTTTTTCGATCTTTTCGTAGACAAAAAATCGATTCGAAAAATCGATCCAAGATCGCCCTATCCTAATCAATTCAATTTAAGAGAATCCATGGCGAGACTTTGGTGGAGATTCATGATTGTGTTTTGAAAAAAATGATTATGTTGTGGCAACATTAAAAACAAATTTTGACACATGCAAACTGCGCAGGCGCAGAAAAAGTTCAGTGTTGCCAGTAACTTTAAAGATCAGAAAAATTGTAACCATGTGTTCCACACAGTGCCAATGACTGTGCCCAAGCTTGTTTCCGGCACACTGTGCAGAATGACCAACCCCTTTGGGGTAGTCACATAAAAGAAATGGTTGAAAAGCCATGAACTAAAGCGTCCACCCTTTCAATGACACTACTTACGCCGAGGTTTCACAAAATTAACTTTTGCGCACTCCAAAATTCACTGTGAATTCCTCCAAATTTGAGGTTTTCAATCCTCGTTGCCACTGTTAAGTTCACTGATTTAGAGGGGAATAAATCTTTCGTAAAATACATCTAGACAATTCTGATCATATATTTCATCTCTTTGCTTCTCACAACTGAACTTTTCTTTTTTACTTCGGTTCCTCTTATCGTGCTTTCTCGGCAATCACTCGGGTAACTACTACAAAAAGCGATAAAAAGAGTTAAAAAAGGCCAAGATTTGTACCACGATAGAAAAGTAGCATCTTCAGCATGGGGGGCCAGATTTGAAGACATGTTTTCATTTTGAAGACATTTGAACATCTGTGAAGGAAAGAGCATTATAGGGCATGCATGGAAAATCATTTGCATTCATTTCGTGCATTCATTTACATTCATTTACCTCTAACTTTTTTTCATCAACAGCATTCCGCAAAATGATGTATAGAGCTTTTGTAGGTTTTGTTATTAGCTTGTTAACAAGTCAAATCCGTATCTCTGATGAATGACGAACATTCACTGAAAAACAGTAACAAGTTCTGCCCGCTCTAGTTCGTGATGCATAAGAGATACAGATTTGAGTTATGACCAAAAGATGTAGCTAATAACCAAACCTACAAAAGCTCTATACATCGTTTTGCGTAATGCTGTTGATGAAAAAAAGTTGGAAGGGTTGTATACTAGATACGACCGCAGGGTTGGCGTTGGATAACGTCTGTTATGTGTTGTACTTAATTGTGTATATTATATTTTAGGAATATTCCTTAAAAACTCTTTTGCGAAAGTTTGGTGGCCCTGAAAAGGGCCGTTTTGTTGGGCTGATGTTGTTGACAATGATGGAACGGGCGACCTTGTTGGACGCTTATATAGTAGAACAGAAAATATCAGAGGTGTCAGATACTCGCATACGTACGTTAAACTCTTTCTTGATAATGTTGTGGCCCTGAAAAGGGCCGTTTTTCCACCGCGCGTAGTTGCCCTTGTGGAGCAGACGGTGAATACGACCGACTGAGAACTGCAGCAGATGGGCATTCCATGACGGCGGCCCATTATACCGGAGCACTGGCACCAACGCACTCGGCGTAGTTGCCCTTTCGCCCCCAGGCTCTGCTGCCGCTGCTCTGCTGCCGCTGCTCTGCTGCCGCTGCTCTGCTGCCGCTGCTCTGCTGCCGCTGCTCTGCTTCCGCTGCTCTGGTACTGCTGCTCTGCTGCTCTGCTGCTGGGTCGACGATCGGATAGACAATGATGGAACGGGCGACCTTGTTGGACGCTTATATAGTAGAACAGAAAATATCAGAGGTGTGAGATACTCGCATCTGATGTCTCGGTTGGAGAAAGTATAAGAATATAAAAAAATCAATCCATTTTCACCATCTTTAGACAATGGTTTACTTTTAACCATTTTTCAATAGTTTACAGAATGAAATCAATAGTTTTGAAACATTCAGCAAATTGCTAGAAATATTTCCAATCGATTGATGCCATTATCTCGTAAATCTATCGAGAGACGGTTGAGTTATTATCGTTCAAAATCTTTTAATATTTCGTAACGCATCCAAAATGACTGTTTTCAATTTTGTACCCCCGTATGTTGCCGAAAGACGTTATCCAACGTCAAAAGTTAGAGGCAAATGAATGTAAATGAATGTACGAAATGAATGTAAATGATTTTCCATGCCTGTTATAGGGTGACCAGCCATGTATAGAAATATGCTACAAGGGGGAGGAGGACCAAAGTTTGATGCTTCATGAAACGTTAACATACGTTAAACATTTGTTTACGTTTGATGACCCCAATACATTATTTATGGTTATTTTGCTAAACGACGTATTTGGCGTATCATCCAAACCATTTGTGGAATTTTTCTATCTTTTGGGTTATCGTTTGTTTATGGTATTTTTTTTAGGGGATGCTCCAAACTTGGACCCCCTCTCCCTTGTAGACTATTTGTCTACATGGCTGGTCACTCTAAAATGCTACGTCATTTATGTATCTTCCCATGCAAATAAATGTTTTACCACAGAAGTTTTGAAGATATTTCATGTTTAGTGAATATCATTGAAGACATGTTGAAATTGGAGAAGACCTTTAAATTGTCAAGTAGACAAGTGATGGTTTTTGCTGTTGAAATGAAGATTTTGACTTCACATTTTAAGCTCTATCTTGATTTTGAGTATGAATAATGTCTTGAAAAAATATCTACAGGACTGAATTTTAAATCTTCAATTAGCTGGATATATTTTGAACACTTCCTGATCAACCTAGGTACCATTTTGGGAGAATATCTCAGAGACATTATAATTTATTTATGTTAGACTTCAAGTCTTGAAAAATAACCAGATGACTTTATTGAAATCTTCGATCAGCTGCAGATCTTTTGAATACTTCCTGATCAATCTGCCTTCTTTGGATTCTTGAGTTGAAGATCTTCAAAAATGTATCTTGATTAACCTGAACTCTTGAATCAATATTTAAAGGACTTTAAGTAAATTACTATTTCAGTGGTCATCTGGATTCCGGATTTACCTGCATCATCTACAACAATCTATGATCTTCGCCAAACTTCATCCTTCTCTACGGATATTCCTGAACATCTGGAAATTTTCCTAAAACTAAACGATATTCCATAAACTTCCAGAAAGTTCATTGAGCTTTTTGGAAGTAAGATCTCTGACAACCTGCTTCGAAATTAGTCAAACTGGAATGAAGTGCTTAGAAGTTTGCAGATTTTTTTGAGAAATTCCATGAAGTTTTACCCAGTTTCTCGAATAGCCAATATTTCGCTTATCTTCTACAAAGATTGCTGCACTTCTTCGTTTCTCTTCAGAAGTATCTCGGAATTTTTCTTTAGAATACACCAGGAGTTCTACTCAGAATTATTATCATTGTATTTTTCCATAGCCCACAATCTTCTATTTTGATTTGAAATCCTACGTCTCAACTATTTTTGAATCTTCTAGCAGTGAAAAAAAAACTCAGGATGGATTATTTGCAAGAACGAAGCAGGTTATTTCGGATATTGCACAGCCAGTCTGCAAATTACGAGATTCCATACATTTAATTCTTTTTGCACTACTACAAGGGCCTAACTGATAGAACATTAAAATTCCTGGAAATTTTAGTAATACCGAACGATCCATTTCGTCCATACTTCAGTACATGTGGTAAAAATCAATAAGCAAAAGGAACAGCAGTTTGTGGAACGGTTTTCGAGCAACCTATTCTCCTTTTCCGTTTTGTACTTCAGACGAGGCATCGAATCGAACAGACTTGCGGCCAGCACTTTTTTCCTTACCTTTTTCGTGCCCCGTCGAGCCCATCTTGGACTTCTCCTGTTCTAACTGCGCATAGAGTGCCGTCATTTCAGTCGTCATATCCTCCCGAGTCTTTTTAAGCTTCTCAATCTCGACCAAGAGTTCGGTTTTATCCTTCATTTCTCCGCTCTTCAGTACCGAGTAAATTTTTTTGTACTTGGCTCGAAGTGTTTCCAGTTCTGTTTTCAGGGCGGAATTCTCTGCTTTGAGAAGATCCACTTCAGTTGCTTCAGGTGGAGGCGAATCAGATTTGTCGTCCTCTTCCGTCAGAGATTGTTCAGTACCATACTCCCGGTTCGCAACCAATGCTTTGAACTGTTCCTTCTGAATGATTTGCTTCGTTTCCCGATCGATCTGTTCAAAGAAGGTAAACTTCCGGTTGTACTCGGTTTCCTCTTCCTTGCGTTGCCGCAGAACTTCCTTCTCGACAGTGTCTTTGTCGACTTTAGTTTGGAATTGTTGCAAAGATAGTGGCCTCGTTTTCTTGGATTTTGAGGCCTGTTTAGTTTCACGTTCGGTTTTCTGATACTTTGTTTTGTTTGCTTCAAAATCCAATTTAGACATCAGTAGAGCTTGTTCTAAATCTTTTTCGAAGTGATTGTCGACTATTTCCGTATCCTTTTCCTGCCATTTATCCCACTGCTCAGTCTGTGCGGCTTCATTATTTGACTTTTTGGGCTTTTTCTGCAATTAGTTTCACAGTCAATCAAATAAATTAGATTCAAAGTAGAATTAATCATCATTCATACCGGCTTTGGTTTCTTCTGGTTATTTTGCTGTTGTTGGTTATTACCGGCCTGTTTCTGCTTGCTGCCGGTTGCAACCGACGGTGCAGTCTTTTGATTGGATGCATTTTTCTGCTTCTGATTCGGTCTCACGTAATCGTCGTCATCGTCCTCTATTCGTAACCCAGCGAACCGAGATGGAACGATCGATACCATTGCTTATTGGCAGCGAGAAATTCGGCAAATTTTGGAAAATTTCACCAAATTACGGAAAGATAAATGGAGTCTGAAAATTCTGCTTGGAAGAAGCGTAAACAGTATTCTTTGACAGCGGATTGTTTACCTTGGAAGCTGGTATAATGACTAGCGCCATCTGAATATCAGAAAATTGAAACATCTCCCCTGCGCACGGCCGCTGCGATTACTTCAATGAGAGAGTCATTTATACCGCATAGAGGCATCTCTATGTAACTCCCGAAAAAACGTGCTCAACTTTTTGACTCAGCTCTGGTACGCTCTTCGGTCCCAAACTAATCGATGCACCCTTCGAAACAGAGGAAAATCCAAGAACGCCTCAACCCAACCCAACACCCCCAAGCAACCGGTGGAAACTAACGATTTTAAATTGGCTCACTACTTGACTAGCCTATTGGTCCCAAGCAAATCGATCAACGTACCCCATTCTAGTCGAAATTCTAGCACTACACTATGTTTGTTTTGATTCGCTATGAAAGTTTGACAGATAAAATGAGGTGTTCATGGATTTTCCGATGTTTCGAGGGGCGAGTCGAGGTGTGCATCGATTAGCTTAAGACCGAAGAGAGTACCAGAGCTGAGCCAAAAAGTTGAGCACGTTTCTTCGGGACCTTCTGGTCTTAGAGTTGTTACCTTTATGGAATAAGTGCACCGAAGTCATCAATGCGGTTAGCTTGAAACTCGCCATAAAGGGTGATACGGTCAAAATTTGGTCAATATCAACTTGACGTATTTCTTTCAATTTTGCATTTAAAAAACCTGAACACCCCTCATTTTGAAGGTGTGTGTGTGTAGAATGTTGCTCCTATTTTGATTTTGGAATTCACTTTTCAGTTGTCAAAATGCCGTCCAAGCAAGAAGAGCAGCGTATCAAAATTTTGCTCGCGCATCGCGAAAATCCGAGCTACTCGCACGCAAAGTTGGCAAAATCGCTAAAAGTTGCCAAATCAACCGTTACAAATGTAATTAAAGTGTTTGGGAAACGTTTGTCGACAGCCAGGAAGTCTGGATCGGGGGGAAATCGAAAACCGGAAGCCGCTGAGACGACAAAGAGAGTTGCCGGTAGTTTCAAGCGAAACCCTAACCTCTCTCTCCGAGATGCCGCAAATAAGCTGGGTGTATCGTCTTCAACCGTCCATCGAGCCAAAAACGAGCCGGACTATCGACTTACAAGAAGGTAGTGACTCCAAATCGCGATGATAAACAAAATACGACGGCCAAAGCGCGATCCCGGAGGCTGTACACGACGATGCTGACGAAGTTTGACTGCGTGGTAATGGACGACGAAACCTACGTCAAAGCCGACTACAAGCAGCTTCCGGGACAGGAGTTTTATACGGCAAAAGGAAGGGGAAAGGTAGCAGATGTTTTCAAGCACATGAAACTGTCAAAGTTCGCAAAGAAATATCTGGTTTGGCAAGCCATCTGTACCTGTGGCTTAAAAAGCAGCATTTTCATAGCTTCCGGGACTGTCAACCAAGAAATTTACGTGAAAGAGTGTTTGAATAAACGTCTGCTGCCTTTCCTGAAGAAACACGGTTGTTCCGTACTGTTTTGGCCGGATTTGGCATCTTGCCATTACGGTAAAAAGGCCATGGAGTGGTACGCCGCCAACAACGTGCAGGTGGTTCCCAAGGACAAGAACCCTCCCAACACGCCAGAGCTCCGCCCAATTGAGAAATACTGGGCTATTGTCAAGCGGAACCTAAAGAAGACCAAAAAAACTGCTAAGGGCGAGCAGCAGTTCAAGGCAAACTGGCTTTCTGCGGCGAAGAAGGTGGACAAGGTGGCTGTACAAAATCTGATGGCAGGGGTCAAGCGTAAGGCCCGGCAATTCGGATTTGGAAAAGCGGAAGCCTAACTGAATATTTTTCCTGAATTTTATACTAATTGAACTTGAAAAAGAAATTTAATTTGATTTTTTAAATAAACGATTTCACCGATTTACACGCGTTTTCCCTTGACCAAATTTTGACCGTATCACCCTTTATTATCATACTTTTTAATAAACGAAAATGTACTTATTTGTCCAGTTTGGTGTGAAATGCGCAATATACAAGTTTCACAATGGAACTATCAACTCTAGGCTTTCATCTCCTCATCCATCGTATCAAATTGTCCACTTTAAGTCGATATTTGACTAAAGCACCTTCAAAAATATGTATTACACTTTTATTACATTGGTCGTAATTACGGGTGCGTACGGGTGTCACTTTACGGTGAAAACGAAGTGAAGTGACAAGTTGTCATTAACGGTGAGGTTATTCCCTGGGTCTTATTACGAGTGTCACTTCACGGTGAAAACGAAGTGACCACTTGTAACTCACGGTGAAGTGATTGCCGTGTAAATCAAATGGAAATCACTTCACCGTGAGTGAAAAGTTGTCACTTCACTTCGTATTCACCGTGAAGTGACACCCGTTATAAGGGCCATTTATTACTCTACATTTTGTTCTGCGTGTCTCTCGTGTTTATAGACAGCAGAACGGCACTTGGAACACTTGGAATGGCATTACTTTCATTACATTAAAAAATAAAATATCCTTTTCAATGAATTTTCGATGAGCAGTGTAGCTGTCGATCACCCCTCGGACCACCCTATAACTCGACTGCCTGTGTAATATTTATACCAGTTTCTGACAGATCAGCACAAGCTGTCATTTTCCGTCCAGTCCCAGGTGCAGTTTTCGGTGAGCGTCGCAAAAAAAGTTTCGTTTTCTGCTGTCGAAGGCATTAAAATCCGTAATTTTCTCGTGTTAAATCCCCTGAAAACCGCATCAAGTGTTTCGGTTCGCGTTCCGGAAGAGTCGCGTAGTGAAATTCAACCATGAACCGTCGCCGAGCGTACGAAGATGACGGTGATTTCTACGGAGGTAAGTTCGGTGTCTCCTATATAACCTCGTTCTGCCTCGCAGCCAAGGAGAGCAGTGTTATGCGGGTAGGGTTGCCAGTGATGGATATTTGACCGGGTGTTTATTTGTTGTTGTTTTAGAACGGAACCGTAAACGTCGCCGGGTGTCGGAAAATCAAGAGATGGAAGAACGTCTGGAGGCACTGATATTGAGGGTCGGTGAGAATAGTACCTCTTCGTTGGAATCCAATTTGGAAGGCTTGGTTTCGGTTCTGGAATCGGACTTGGGAAACTTCCGGAGTAAGATTTTAAGGATCCTATCGGAGTGTCCCATCAAAATGCCGGAGAAGTGTACAATCTACTCGACGATGGTGGGCCTGATGAACGCTAAGAACTACAACTTTGGAGGTGAATTCGTTGACCATATGGTCAAAACGTTCAAGGAGAGTTTGAAGCAGTGCAGATGGGATGCCGCCAGATACGCGTTGAGGTTCCTGTCGGATTTGGTAAATTGCCACGTCATTTCGACGAACTCTTTGTTGCAATTGCTGGACAACATGGTTGATGCGGCCAACGAAGATTCGGTACCGCAAGTTCGCCGAGATTGGTATGTGTTTGCTGTTCTTTCGACGCTGCCGTGGGTCGGCAGAGAGTTGTATGAAAAGAAGGAATCGGCTTTGGAAAATTTGCTGGTGAGAATTGAGGTGTTTCTGAATAAACGAACCAAAAAGCACCATAATTCTTTGAGAGTGTGGTCAGTTGATGCTCCGCATCCCCAGGAAGAGTATTTGGACTGCCTGTGGGCTCAGATTCGTAAACTGCGTCAGGACAACTGGGCAGAGAAGCACATCCCGAGACCATATCTGGCATTCGATTCCGTTCTGTGCGAAGCTCTTCAGCACAATCTCCCATTGATTCATCCACCACCGCATCAGGATTCTTTTGAATATCCGATGCCGTGGGTTGTCTACAGGATGTTCGATTACACGGATTGTCCAGCCGGGCCTATTCTTCCAGGAGCACATTCGATCGAAAGATTCCTGATTGAGGAACATTTGCATTCTATCATCGAAAGTCACCATTGGGAGCGCAAGGATTGCGCGGCTCATCTACTGAATCTGTCCTACAAGGACAAAATCCCCCTGGAGTACTGTATTGTCGAAGTGATCTTTGCCGAATTGTTCAAAATGCCAACTCCACGCTATCTGGACATTTGTTACGGGTCGATTTTGATTGAGCTTTGCAAGCTGCAACCGTCCAAGATGCCACAGGTGTTGGCACAGGCCACGGAGATCCTGTTCATGAGAATCGATTCGATGAATACCAGCTGTTTTGATCGGTTCGCCAACTGGTTTTCGTACCATTTGAGCAACTTTCAGTTCCGCTGGAGCTGGGACGATTGGGATAGTTGTTTGCTGCTGGAGCCGGAGCATCCGAGGCCAAAGTTCATCGAGGAGGTGCTGCTGAAGTGTTTGAGGTGAGTAGAGTAGTTTTCCAAGGAAGTGGCGACCGTGCATTGATGGTATGTTGTTTGTCTTGCAGATTGTCCTATCATGACCGTTTCAAGGAGATGATGCCGGAAACCTACTCCAAGCTGATTCCGAAGCCATCGCTACCGACCTACAAGTATACGATGGAAGGCGCCGGTGAGTATCGGCATTATTATGTTTACTGTTGCTTCATCGGTTCGCCTGACCGAGATTAGATGTGTTTGTTTTTATTTGGGATTTTGGACATACCAGAGTCCGGTACTTCCGGAATGGAATGATCTTGAGCGGTTGGAATCATATGGATTGTTCGGAAATGGTTCTTCAAACTGCAGTGCTACTTCATGCGGAACTGTAGAATACTCTTGAGGTATATCGTAAGTTGGAACCACTTTTTAGAATACGAGTCTTCAGCTGGTTGGCGTGCGACCGTATCAGACGAAGTTGATCTTTAAGGAACGCATTTTAGTTGACGGTTCCTATCTTCTCGATTACGGTTGATGGTTTCCACTGTCAAGAATTTGCTCGATGTACCTTGACGTATACAAAATCACCGTGCTGGAAACCTTTCTGGACTGCACAGTTTTTTTTGGTTGAAAGCGTCATTCTGTTACTTCCTGTCACTGGATATGGTGCCACGTTCGGTCGGTTTGAACATTGATGATTTGGTACGAAGTGATCTTTCAAAAATCATCTCTGTTGGAGATTTGTCATCCAGATCGCTATTTGCAGTAAAGTGTTTAGTGCTTCCTTATGCGTTGCCCCTCCCGAACGAATGTTCCGAAGCCATCGAAGAGCACGGAGTATAAGGTCTATCATTACCAGGAATTAGATTCCATCTACTGGACCTGCCTAGTCAATGTCAATCCTGGATCATGATTTAGAAGGAATGGTCAACGATTTCCAACGTCGTCTTGGTTGGTGTCTTGCCAGCAGTTCAACACGGTGTGCAGCGTTTGATGTAATCCTCAATTTCGTTATAAATACCAGGCCAGTAAGTAGAACTTCGTGCTATTGCTTTCATACGTACCATTCCCGGATGACCTCGATGGAATTGTTGCAAAATCCGTCGTCGAAACATGTCGGGAACCACGACTCTGTCGCCGAAAATCACGCACCCGTTAATTAGGCAGAGTGATTCACGTCTGTGGTAGTATGGTTGAACTACAGCGGAGAGATTATTGATGCAGACAGGCCAACCGTCACGGATGTGCTTAGCAACAGTTTGGAGAGTGGTGTTTATAGATGTAGCCTTATGTAGAGCTGCGAAAGAAACCGGAACCTTGAAGCTTGATAAATGTTCTTCCAGGGTGAGTGCTGCGATTACGAATTCTTCCTCTAGTTGGTTGGTTTGGTCGATCAGCCGGGACAACAAATCTGTACATCCGAAATCGTTCGCAGATACATGCTGAATCTCGAAGTCGTAGTTAAGCGCTGTAGGAGCCCAACGTTGCAGCGTGTTCGCAGTGTGTAGCGGTATGCTCTTCTTAGAATCGAAGATGGACAGCATCGTGAAATGACGTCCGAGCAAATATTTGTGGAATTTCGTCACCGCATAGACGAACGCAAGTGCCTCCTTTTCAGGTTGTCCATAATTAGGTGCGAGCGTTCTTGAAGCATGTTGCACAGCCTTCATTTTGCCGTTGGAAAACTGGTGAAAGAGGACGGCACCTATTCTAGTGTTTGATGCGTCTGCTGCCACGATGATAGGCAGTTTGGATCGTAATGCGTCAGGAGTAAATTTGATTGAAGTGTTGCCTTAAACCGGTCGAAAGCCTTCTGACACTTGCAAGTCCATCGCCACTTAGTTTCTTTCTTCAGAAGTTGGTCCATCGGATGACGCAATTCGTGTAGGTTGCGAACGAATCTTTCATAAAAATTGACAGCGCCTAGGTACGACCATAATTCTGAGATGTTACTTGGCGTTGGAATTGCAGTTAAGGTCTTCACTTTCGCGGGATCTGAACGGATGCCTTGTGCGTCCACGATGTGCTCCAAGTAGCGGAGTTGTGTTTGATAGAAATGGCACTTCTCAGCTTTAACGTGGAAACCATACTCCTTGAGTCGTTGGAAAAGTTGATTGAGTGAGGTTGCATGCGAGTCCATGTCGTTTCCGAACACGATGGCATCGTCGATGAAAGAGCGAACGCCAGGTATGTCCGCAATCATTCCATCCACCAGCCTTTGGAACGTTCCCGGTGCTGACTTCACTCCTGGAGCAAGCCACGATGAGTATTGATCGTTAGTAGCTTATTGGAATCGTCGTCAACCTCGAGCTGCAGATACGCATCGGGAGGGAAGGTCGATGATGCTGAAAACGGTTGAGCGAAAATTTCATCCGGTGTAGGAATTGGATAATGGTTAGATTCCAATGCCTCCTTGAGTCCTGTCGAGTAATCCTCACAGATGCAAACTCGGCCGTTCGGCTTTCGTACCGCCACGATAGGAGCAGCCTATTTGGAGAAGTCGACTAGCTCGATGATGTTCAGCATTTCCAACCGTGTGAGTTCGGCATCGACCAATTTGTATTGAATTGAATTGTATTGAAGGGAACTGGCTGTTTGGGACAGACAAAAAGCTTTACTTTCGTTGTCTTGTAGTGTCCCAATGAATCGTTGAAAACGGCCGCGTGCTTTGCTTGGAATTCACGAACTTGCTGATCGATCGATTTCATCTTCTCCTAAATGCAGACCGTATCGATGGGAACTGTCCACAAGCTCGAACAGTTTGATCCAGTCGATGCTTAGTAAAGTCTGGAACGCGCAAAAATTGGTCAACTTCAAATTGATGTCTTTCTGTTAAAAATGCATAAAAAACCTGAAATGCTGCATTTGGAAGTTGAGTTTATATACAATAGTTGCTATGATGAGTTTTCACCGTTTGCTCTCCAGTTTTCAAAATGACGTCCAAGCAAGAGAAGCAGCGTGTCAAAATTTTCCTTGCGCAGCAATAGAATCCGACGTTCTCACACGCCAAGTTGGTAAAATTGCTGGATGTGGCCAAATCGACCGTGACAAACGTTTTAAAAGTGTCGACCGCCAGGAAGCCTGGAAGCGGCGGCAATCGTAATCCGGACGTGGCAGCGACGACGAAGAAGGTGGTGGTGAAATATAAGCGGAATCCTAACCTCTCCTTCCGGGACGTCACTGGCAAGCTCAATGTCTTCCATACTACTGTGCAGCGGGCCAAGAAACGAGCCGGGTTGTCGACGTTTAAGAAGGTGAAGGTGGCGAACCGAAATTACAAACAAAACGTGTCGGCAAAGCAGCGGTCCCGAAAGCTGTATACGAATCTGCTCACAAAGTTCGACTGTGTTGTCATGGACGATGAAACTTATGTGAAGGCGGATTTCAAGCAGCTTCCGGGACAGGAGTTTTATACCGCATCAGGAAAAGGGAAGGTGGCTGAACTTTTCAAAACCATCAAACTATCGAAGTTCCCGAAAAAATATCTCGCCTGCACGTGTGGTCTAAAAAGCGGCATTTTCATTACTACGGGAACCATTAATCAATAAATCTACGTCCAGGAGTGCCTGGAAAAGCGGCTGCTACCATTCCTAAAGCAACATAATAGACCTGTGCTGTTCTGGCCGGACTTGGCGAGCTGCCACTATGGGAAAAAGAATCTCTAATAAATCCATGGAAAACGAGCAGCAGTTTAAATCTAACTGGCGTTCGGCGGCGAATAAGGTCGATGAGACCATTGAGTCAAATTTAATGGAAGGGGTTAAGCGGAAGGCAAAGCAGTTCGGATTTGGCAAACCAAAAGAATAAACGAACATTTTTTTCCTATGAATTGAACTACCAAAAGAAAAATAAGATTTTTGTGACATGAATTTTGACTGAAAAAAACGATTTTTTTGTCGACCAATTTTTGCGCGTTCCAGTCTTTAGGTTGAGGTTGGCAGCCGTTTTGACGAAGCAATTTTGCCGTTGATGCTCATTTCGTGCTGGACGCATTCATTGCTTCAATAGTCAGCTTCTTGATCGTAGGTTTTCCCAGACAGTTCCAGGGTTGCTTTGAAATTACCGTGATGTCGCTTGCCTTGTCCAGTTGAAGCTTAGTTGCCACGCCGCCGATGAAAGTGGGCACGTACTTCCGCTTGCTGGAGTGTTGAGCGATGTGATTCACGATGTCTACGCCTCGGGACTTTGCCTTCCAAGATTTGCTTGATTTGATTGATGACTTCTTCTCCTCGCCAGCTTGAACTGTTTTTGGTTTGGAGTAGCAGCCACAGTAGCCTTCCTAGTGGCCGATACGGTTACACTGTTTGTACTGATGATTCGAGCATGGACAATCCCGAACATAGTGCATCTGACCGCATTGATTTACCTTCCGTCGTTATTGTTTTATTATTGTTTTACATCCACAGGCTGGATGAAGAACCAATGATGTTAACCTTATCAACTATATAAGCTATGGAGCAGATTCGTAGGAAGATTTTGAGGTCATCTGCATATGATAACCGAGGAGCTTCGATGACCAGATGCACGTCCTTGAAGTACAGTATAAAAATCAACGGTCCCATGTGGCTTCCCTGAGGTATGCCTGATGTGGCGAAGAAGCTAGCTGATATGCAATCTCTTATGACAACCTTTAGTTGGCGACCGGTAAGATATGATCGAAACCAACTCAGAAGATTACCGCTTACACCGAGCCTGTCGAGTTTAGCAATCGCAATAGCATGGTTCAACTTGTGCTGCGAATGCTGCGGATAGGTCTGAATAAATAACGTCCGTTTGAACCCTATCCGACATGCTTTCGGTTATATACGATGTGAGACACAGCAGATTGGTCGTTTTAGAGCGACCGACAGTAAACCCATGTTGATCAGCACTCAACTACTGCTTGCAATGGGACAGCAACGGTTCCATAATGATTACCTCGAATAGCTTCGAAACGGCACCTAACGATGTAATTCCTCGATAGTTATCCACAGCTCGTTTCCTTCCTTTTTTGTGGACGTCAATGGAAATATGCCACTGAAGAGAGACATTCGGAACAGGCGAAGAAGCGGAATTAACAAGCTAGCAATATGTCTCTTCAAAAATACAGATGGAACTCCATCAGGTACAGGATTGAAGGATGACTTGAGCAGAGTCCCGGCCTTAGAAATCATCTCAGCATTAACATCAATTGCACCCAGCGTTTGATCATTTACTGGAACGTTCCTGGTAGCCAGGTTAATATGGTCGTCAGTTAGTATCTCATTAGTAAAATACACTGGCAAACTTTTCGGAAAAAGGTGGCATAGATCTTGAACGGTGGCAGCAACTTCTCCGTTGAATTCCATAGACGATGAGAGGCCGGATTCCCTGCGTTGCTCGTACACGTAGTTCCAAAAGGATTTCGGGTGTAGCTTAAGTTTGCGCTGGATGCCTCGTTGGAAACTTGAAAAGAATTCACGACTGACTCGCTGGTACCGTATGCGTGATAATGTTTGCACCATCGTACAAATAAGGTTCCCGTTTCACCTGTGCATACAATGCCTTGGTTTTCTTTGCATACACGTAACCTATAGCTCATACCGTAGTAGGCTGTGTATAAAAGAAAATGATTTACTTAGTTTGACAGTTGCACCATGACGAAGTGGCAGCGTATTCGTGATTTGTCCCACGCGCAAATGTCGCAAAAAGACATTTCAATCGCCGCGGGAGTGTCCCGGTGGACCGTCAAAAGGGTTTTAGACCGAGAAAAGAAAGGACAACTATCCGCGAAGGTGGCCACAGGTCGTCCGAGGTCAGCTCGGCTTTCGAGGGTTATCACTGCTATCAAAAGGAAGATCCGGGTGAATCCAGTGCGTTCAATAAGGAAAATGGCAAAGGAACACGGGATCAGTGAAGATCGTAAAGGAAGATTGCGGGGCGAAGTCGAGGGCACGAAAAAAAAAAACTCACATGATTACCAACTGCGTCCGGGAGCTACGAGTCGAACGATGCCAAAAAAATCTTAAACTGCCTTAAGCGAAAAAATCCGGTAATCCTGTTCACCGACAAGAGCATGTTCCCCGTCGATCCCGTATCAAATTTCAGAACCGACAGGTATATTAGTTCTCTTCCGGTAAAAGACGTGGCACACGAGTACAAGAACGTGTATCTGACCAAGCATCCTGCTAGCGTTATGGTGTTTGGATTGGTGGCTTCCGATGGCAAAAAAATGGACCCGGTGTTCATTCCAGAAGGCGACAAGGTCAACACGGAGGTCCGCATCGGGATTTTAAGTAAGTATGTTCTTCCGTGCATCAAAGAACAGTACGGTCCGAAGCCAAATGTTGTATTTCAACAAGATGGGGCTCCGTGCCACACCTCGAATCGCGCTCAGAAGTGGTTGCAGGAACATCTTCCGTTCTGGGCGAGCCCCGATCTTAATCGGGTGGATTACTCAATATGGCGCGTCATGTAGGCCAAGACCTGACACTTTGTGGTGAGTTCTATTCGGGACGTGTCTGCCAATGACATATGCCAAGACATGTGAAAAGGTTTGCGCTGCAGCCTCAACGTCATCTGGATCAAGGATGTTCTCCCATACCATGCTAGTCTATACATCTATGCTGCTACGGTGGTCAGCTTTACGGAAGTCATAAGAAACCGTAGTAGGATAATCGTCGAAACCACGCACGAGTTTGTCCTCAACAGTGACAATTAGAGGAGGGTGATGTGGAACTTGCTTAGTTAGTGCACAAGGAGCCGAGGAAATTAATGGAGCGCTGTCCTGTGTGCTCACGAAGCAGAGGTCCAAACTACGATCATTTTCGTTAACTACATGGCTAATTTGAGAAAGCGTCGCTGCGCTATAGTTGTCGGGAAAGCTAATAGCTCCTGCGTGAAATGTAGATCTATCAGGATCTGGGTACAGGAATCCGCTATGAGATGGATTCCACGAAGCGCCTGGCAGATTGAAGTCACCAAAAATGAATATCTCATCAACTGGAGTGGCACTTTCGATAACTGTGAAAACTGACGGACAGTGAGAATCGATGAGTTCATTGTCCCGGACTCGATCAGGTACAGAGCGCATAGAAATAGTGTGCGATCACCCAGATTGATGGCTGTCCAAACCTGCTCCACATACTTCCATGAATCGTTCTCGATGGCCTTTGTCTCCAACCCGCCACGGACAGCTACAAGGACACCTCCACCAGTAGATTTACGGCTGTTGTTAGGATTCTGATCGCAACGAAAGACCTCGTAGTCAGGACCGAAGACTTGACTGGAAAGCGTTCGATAATCGAGCCACGTTTCGCACAGGACAATTACATCGTAGCAACAATCCGATACAGCTAGGCGGTACTCTTCAACATCAGAATTCATTCCACCAGCGTTTTGGTAGGAAATCACGACGTCCTGCTTGCGGCAAGGAATCGAACGACTGCTCTCCCTGGAAGTCAAAGATACATCGCCATAGTGAGTGGGTTGAAAGACCCCCTCTCCACATCCGACAGCAGGTCCGGAACGACTATGATGAACGAAGGCTGCTGATGGCAGGACTGAGACGAAGGGAACGAAGACAGCTGATGTCGAGAATTTCCCTTCTTCTCCTGAACTGCGTGCACCGTTGATTTTGAGCTTGATTGACGCTCAAACATGGATGTGTCCGCCTTGAGATTAACGAGCCGTCGATCAGATTTTGGAGTAGCCTGGCTCGTATGTCCGTATGTTGAGACCGCAGAAGAACACCAAGCATTTGAATTAGTCAATCTTCACGTTCTTGAAATCGAAATCCTCGCAAGCACGGTTGACTTTACCTCCGTAGCTGATAATGTTTCAGATTTCACCAGCTTCAGGCACTGATATCGCTTGCTGAAGATCGATGTTTGTGATCCGAATATCTTCTTGAGGGTTTCGACTGTGTCAGCGAATTCGACGTCTATTGTACCGGGTGTGTGACGGTATGTCCAACTTCCTCAGGAGCAGTTGTACTTTGGCCGCATCTTCTAGGTTCTTGGCATCCGAATCAAAGAGATCTGCGTACCGGCTGTACCACTTCTCGAAGGTGATTGCATTTTGCGGGTCGAACGAAAACTCACTGATATTCGTTGCCAAGGCCTCAAGTGTTTGCTCAGGTTTACTAACGGTTTGAGCTGGCTCCGCTAGCTTTTGTAGGAGCGCAGCCATCTGGAGAATTGCTTCCAGTAGATCTGCCAATGCTTCTGGTTCTTGAATCCTCGTCGCCAATTGTTATGTCCGGTACTTCCGGAATGAAATGATCATGAGTGGTTGTAACAAGTCTATCTTTATTGGAAGTCTAATTCGGAATGAATAGTCAGGTGACAACATATTTTTGAAGAGCATATGTATAGCAAAATGAAAACAAAATTTGCTATTAAATTTGTCAATTGCGTAAACTGAAATCAAATTACGATCTCAGTTTGATGTTGATATCAAAATTTGATTTTGTGTGTTTAAAATCGAGATATACCTACCTTTAATCGGTTGAAAGGCTGACTTTTGTGTGACGTATTTTCATCGTGAACACCCTTTAGTTTGCACTAGTTATGTAGAATCTTTTGAATATTTCCCCGTCTACGGTTGTCATTTTCCCATTCCCAATTTCCCCGTATTCGAAAAAAAAGGATGTGTCATCGCAGCAAATCTACACCGCCCCGGTAGAAATCATAAATTATTGTTTTATTTTGACACAAACAAAATAACTAATTTTCTTTCCAGTGTGTTTCAGCAGCTCAATGTGTATAGGCTTGGCTTTTCGTTGTTCAATAATGCATATACTTCTCCGTCAAGCTCTAGTCGCTGTTCAGTTTCGCGTATTATTGCAATCGTATCGCATCTAAATCGGTTTTGTTTTTCCAGCGGTTCTCTCAGTTCTTTGTTTTCTGGCTATCGCTCACTTCTCACTAGTCTTCTCTTTCTTGTAGGCATTTTAAATATAAATATTTATAAATTACTTATCAGAACTTATTTGGTGTCACTTGCTTAAACTCTACCTTAATATCGCTCGTTCTCGCTTTCTACATCACACGCACTCGCACCCCCCGCACTTTCTAATGGTCTACACTAACAGTCGTTTCGCTCCTACTGCTTCCGGTTGTATCGGTTTCCGATTCGTTGTAGGTCGTTGCCGTCTGCTCGTGGATCGTGCTCTCGGCCGATGGTTCGCTCGTGCTTGACATCACTGTCGTCGAACTCATCATCGAAACCGTGGTCTGCCCGTCGTCCTTGTGACTGATTTCGTTCGACTGGAGCGTTTTGTCGTGCAGGTCTTCCGGTTTGGCCGTTTGGTTGGCGATCGCCCGTGCGTGGTTGATGATCGACATGGTCAGTTCGTTGAAGGTCGGTGCAGAGGATCCCGTCGGACCGATGCTGGCATCACTGGCTTCGAACAGCAGGATGTTGGTGGAATTCGTTTCGACGGGTTTGATTTCGGCTTTGATCATCTCGTAGCTGGTATCTTTGGCGATGGACAGCTTGGAGATGAGTGGCTCGGCAACGAGGATTTCATTTTCTTCCGTGGCTGTATCCCGTTTGGATTTCTCGTTGCTCATGTTCTTGAGACTGATCGGAGCGACGGCGCTTTCCTCGGGTTGCCGATCTTCGGACTCGGTAGGAGGGCGATTGTCCAGTCGGTTGCTGTCAAATGCGGACGAAGTGACCCCGGAGATGGGTTTTATGGTAGAGGTCGATGTTGTAGTGCTGCTGCTCGTCCGCACTCGATGGACCTTTGCGATGGGGTGTTGCGAAGCGGATGGAGTTCCTGGAGTGGTGACGCGGCGGTGAGTGTAACGAGAGCGGCCACGGGATGCCCGGAGTCGGTTCATTTGGTTCTCGAGACTTGAGCGTGCCGTTGCTGTTATTGAGGGGGCTTGAGACTTATTGGCATATATGGGTTCGACGGTTGAGTGTTCGGAGGAAGCGGAAACCTGTTCGATGCTAGCCGAGGATGAGATTGAACTTGAGGAAGAGGAGGACGGTTCAGCGCTGGTATTGCTTTTGTTGCGTGGACGTTTTGGGATCCATTTGAGGACGGGTTTTTCTGTGGAACCTGCGCTGGCCGAGTTTGCGGCAGATGAGCTTGGGAATTGTTTGTAGATGGTTTTGATGACCAAGCGCGGTCGCATGGTGGTAATTATGTCGTCAGATTTCTCGTTCTTGTTCTTGAAGAAAGGTTGGAATTGGGTGAAGGGTTTCTCCGTAGTGGCCGTGGTGGATCCACTAGCGGTTGTGGTTGCTGGGATCGGGGTTGTGCTAGCAGTAGTCGAGGAAGCCGGAGTGGTTAGGGATGTTGGGAAGGGAGTTGTCGAACTGGTGTATGGCTGGGTGACGTAGTTCTTGGGTTTCTGAACTTTGTGGTTCTGTTTGGCCGTTCCGTAGTAAGTGAAGTCTTTCTCCGGTGGAGGCAGCTGAACGCTTAGCTGAGATTCTGGCCGACGGGTAGCGTAGTCTGGCGCTTCACTGAACTTGAGCGGTTTATGACTGGTCACGGTTACGTGATGGTGGTTTCCATGATTTCCGTGATTTTTACGTTTAGATCCTGACTTCTTGGGGATTTTCTTGACGTGGGCAAGCTCTACGACCCTGGATGGAACGAAATCGAAGCTATCGTGATGGGCCAAATAGTGATAACTCTTCAGAGTAGACGAGATCGGAGTTTCGATTTGGGGAGGTACGATCGTTGGCGAGGGGATTCCTTTGTAGGATGGATGCAAGGTGAACTTGGGAGTGAAGTTGGGTCCTGCCGTGTAAGTGAAGGCTCCCGATGAGGATACCGATGGGTATGGAGTAGTGAAGGAGATGGGTGTCGTTCCGATGTTCTTGTGGTACAGTGGGTCGGGTTCGGAGTAGAGCTTGCCACTTTGGCTCACGGCTCCTTTCTCGTCCAGGAAGTTACTGAAGAATCCACTGTGAACCGACGAGGTATGACCGATTGATGGAGTAAAGTTTTGTTCAGCGGCCGTGGCTATCGGGATGGCAGCCGTGGTTTTCGGAGTCACTGCATTCTCTATTCCAAAAGATTGGAACTTGGGCGATGAAGAAGAATCAATGGGGGAGCTTCCGGCAGTTTCGGGTTCCTGTTTGTTGTATGGTGAGACGGTACTGCTGGATACGGGTCGGAAACCAGGGGCGGTGAACTTCTCACGTAGACCTGCAGGCGAGGCATGGATCGTCGGTAGCGATCCGTAACGGTAGTTTGGACTGGTTGGGCTTGCGAGCGGACTGGTTGAAGGTTGCGGAGTGTACTTGAAGCTGGAGAATTTGAGCGTGGTGGGGATGCTGTTCGGGTGGTGAGGATAGTGTTGGGTATGGTTAGGATGCTTGGTGGTGATGTAGTCTGGATGATTTTGGGTTGCCAGGAAGGGATTGACCGGGTAGATGTGGACCGGTGCCTGTTGCATGAAGCGAATTGGAATGGCGTTTAGTCCGCCCTGTTGGGGAGCGTAGATCTGACCTTGCGAAGGCACCAGTTGGAAGTGTACTGGGAAGGCAACGGGCCCTTGCGAAACCTGGTACATGTGGTTAGGAGCGATTGGGATATGGTTCAACATAACTTGGCCTTGTGGATTGAAAACTGGGATCGATTGGACAAGATTCTGCGGGAGGGGCTGTAGGGGTGGTGGGTTGTTGTTGAGTGGTTGATTTAGAAGTTGGGGCTGTTGTGGTTGTTGCTGTTGTTGTTGTTGTTGTTGTTGCTGCTGCTGTTGTTGTAACGGTTGCTGATGATGATGGTGGTGAATGTGAGTCGGTTGGATAGGCAGAATAGAGGGCGGGTATCTATGGCTTTGCTGAATTTGTTGGGGCTGTTGGGCAATAGGTTTGTTCTCTACATTCGGTGTGGTTTCCGTATGTTCGTTTCCTCCACGGAAATCTACCAGTTTGGTGTAATCTTGCTGAACGTTGCTGGAAGCTGAATGAACTTCCCTAATGTATGGTGGCATTGGAGGAGCTGTCGGAGCTAACGGAGCAATTGACGGCCTCTGGAAGTGGATATGGTGATAGTACTTGGGCACCGCTTGGCTGGAAGTGGTGAACGCATCTGGAAACTTGACCCTATTGAAGGCAGATCCAAACCGGTATGCATTTGGGGCATAGCTTTTCTGAGCTTTGATCGTAGTTTCTCCTCCAGACAAGAGTGATTGAAGCAAATATTCTCCCAAAGTTATGGTCGCTTGCGTCGGACGAAAGTATCGGTTGCTGGTGAACGATGGGTGATACGGAGGAAACAGTGGATCAAAGACCGCCCTTTCAACAAATTGATCGTTCTTCTTCATCATCGGAATAGCATTCGGTGAAGGCATTCCAAAGTATCTCGGATAATCCTCGTCCCGAACGATGAAACTCCTATTGACGATCGCGTTTTCATCCAGTTGCAAGTCCCGCATTGGTGCAACCGTAAACTTCAACTCATACCGATGTCCTCGCAGCTCGTCCCGATGTCGAATTCGTTCAACCTTCCAATAGGCACTCACGTTGCGTCCTACACTGCTGGTTGGCCTGTTGGGATCATCCTGCACAAAGAAGTAGGATTCGTCGTTGTCCTGCTCCAACCTGCCGTGTGCTAGTTCCACAATGTCTCCGAACCGTGGCACGCTCAAGTCTACGAAACCGATGTAGGGCGCCCCGTAGATGGCCTTCTGTTGCCGCGCAATGTACAGTGGCTGCTTGGTGGTCGTACTGCCATCGGCTGATTTGGCGCTGTGAGGAGGGGTGAGAGAATGGAGATTTAGCTTATTTCTGAAATAGATAATTCCATCTCTGAACTCCATTCGCTTTCGTTCGGTCAAGAGATGGAGTGTTTCAGGAACAGAACCGACCACCGTCGCCGTTCCGAGCCATTGATTTTAATGGACTGAAGTTCTAATTAAAATATTATACAACTCGAGGCGAGGTGTAAAACGAAAGCGAGTGTGGAAAGTTATATCATTTCGCTCGTTTGATTCGTTCTGCTGGTTGGGCAGTCATATTGTTTAGTTGTCTGTTTTGCAATGTTTGTTTTCGTTGGCGTATGCGGAATAACTGGGAGGAGAACCGCAATGGTCATTTGCATACATGATCGAATGGAGAGACGGAAGGCACTCAACCGTTAGTTAGTTGAGTATTGCTCGTTTAAACAAAATTACCAAATCTACACCAGCTAGGCACTCACCTCGTTTTGTTATCATTCAGCGCAAGGAAGACGGTTTCCTTCAGCACCTCCTCCCAGGGAACGGCGGTACTGGTGGCGACGGCGGCGGCGGGACCGGCTCCCTGCTGTGCAGGAACGACATTGTCCAAAACCCCCGGACCGGTCGGCAGCTCGTGGGGTCGGTAGTACAAAATCTTGCCCGGATAGGTCTTGAGCTGGTGTGGCGTCAGAATGATATCACGGTTGCTGTAGTACTGGCAGTGGCTGCCGGTAACGGAAATCTGTATTTGACGCGAAGAGAAGAAGTGCAATTAATTGCTGTGTTGGAATGTGTGATGTGCATGTTGCATACGCATCGGTCACTCGGCGGTTTGCCCTTGGCCGCAGTTTGATATAATCATATTCAAAAGAGTCGCTCAATTAAGCTGCGCTTTGACGCGGACTTAGTTCTAGCTGAGTGCATTTTGGGAGTAGATATTTAGCGTGTTGTAGCACACACTGAAGTCACAACAACAGAAATTAAGTAGACATGCTTTGGTTTCGCACCCAAGTCAACCAACGGCAGCCAGTGTGCAGTGTCAGGGGCACCGACGTCGTCGTCGTCGTCGTCGTCGTCTTCGTCAGCCGATTTATATCACCTTTCCGAAGCCATTCATAGCCGCAGTGGGTTTTGGTTGGTTCTCACGCAAGATGCTTTCGTGGCCCCGGCTTGTCGACTAGTGGGTGGTGGAACGGAAGCTAGAAATGCTGTACTTGACACCGTTCAGGTAAGCAGCCTGTCATGCTCACTAATGGCTAGCTGCTTAGGCCAAATGGTTTGGACTTTTTATCATCTCGTTCATTACGTTTTTAATTAATTGATTTAGGAGTAATGGGAATTTGAAGCAATACCTATTATTCGTTTACATTCGGTTTGGTGCGTGTTTAAGAACCTACTCAGAATAGAATAGAGCACCTTGAGATGAATCAGAATTTTCAAAGTGCGTGTCTTCTGGTGTTCCTTGCGCATGTCTCACGAAGTCGGTTACAATTAGGCCTGACATGGAAGTGCGCATAGGAAGGCACATATGAATTAATCGCTGTTAGCGTAATCTTATTTTCATTTCTTTATTGTGTTTGAATAAGCGATACGGGAATTTACAAAGCACTACAAAATTGATGATATTTTTAAAAAATTTGTTGTGTATTTTTTCAAAAAAACATTACAAATTCCGTATAATATAACTGTTGAATGTGCCGCAGAGCCCAAGTGTACTGCATGCACCATTTGCTTTGAAATTCTATTATTGCACGACCGTCAAACATGGCTAAATGCATTTTTAATATTTTTTTTTTCAACGAGAATAATCATTCAGTGATTCTGTTAGTTGATTAAACATAACTTTTCGGTATATTGTGAATACTGTATCAGTTATTTTGATTGTATTGAACAGGCCAATAATTGAAGCAAAATGTACGCATCAGCTTTTTGATTTGAAACGTTGCATACTGTTAGGCGTTATATCCATAGACAATAATTCCAGGACCAAGTAAATTTTACATGGTTGATAGATGTATTGCAATTCTAGATAGAGCTGGAATTAGGGCGTAACAGCTTTTGTAAACAATTAATTCTCTCGATGATTTCTAGAAACTCAAGGGTCGCCCAAGCAAATCAATATCACCATCAGGTATGGGAAGTCTTTCCCTACCCGATGCCTGTGTTGGTTTGCGTTGGCGCGCCTTGAATTCCTAGAAATCATCGAGAAAAGTCATTGTTTACTAAAGCTGTTAGGCCCTAATTCCAGCTCTATGCAGAATTGATCGTTAGATAAAATAATAATCAACATTTTCCTGTAACGATTACCTAATATATTAGTTATTTTACAACCAGGCTTGCAATTGCTCATTACAACTAAAATGTTATTATTCGGAATTATGAAACTATGAGATATTATAACGATATTTTGTATTTGCAAGATGCATGAAGGGCCTCACAGCCTAGTCAGTAAAGGCACGGTATGATCAAGCCGGAGGCTGCGGGTTCGATCGAGGGAATCTTTCGGATTGGAAATTTTCTCGCTTGTTACACAATATACAAATTCATGCATTGGTAATTGGCATCGAAAGCTCTCAATTAATAACTGAGGAAGTGCATTTAGAACACTAAGTTGAGAGCACGCAATAAGCTAATAAGCACTAAACAATAAGCTTGAAATGCGAATAAGAAGAAGAAGAAGAAGATGCATGAGAGGAGTTAAACTTTGTGTATGACACATACATCCTGTCAATTTCGCTTCCAGAGTATCACAATTCGACTATGAGCATGCATAAGGGCGTATACGCGATGATCGATTCTCTTCATCGATTTTCTCTTTGCATTGCTACAGCTAAGCGAAACAAATTTCTAGAATTTGTTCAATGCAAAGTTGTCACAGGTTGTATTGGCTATCAAAAGTAACAGCAAACGCATCGAGCAACGTTAATTCTTGCGAGTTATTAAAAAAAGAGAAAATCGACGAAGAGAATCGATCATCGCGTTTACGCCCTTATGCATGCTCACTGACGAATTAACGATTAGCTATAACGGCAGGGCTGGTAGCGAGTCACTTTTTAGTGACTTGGTCATTTTTTTGAAACCAGTCACTAAAGTCACTTTTTCTTGTTTGGAGGCGAACCAGCCCAAGGCTGAAAGCCTCCCTAATAAAGATAAATAATAGTATTACTTTTTCATGTAATCAGTCACTATTTTCCACTTTGTTAGCGTGAATTTATTTCAAGATTGATCATTCTTTGCTTTGTGACGTTTCATCGAGTTTCTCTATCTACAGGGTGTCTACTCATTTTTCTAAATAAAATTATATGATCCAATATCTAAAAATATTCAATGTCTTGAAGTTTCGTATTCCATGTTTCAAATTCCAATTTTCAAAGTGCCATAATTAATAGAAAAATAAATGATTTATTTAAAGTCTGCAATTAACTTTATGAAAGTGGTGGTGTAGTGGTAAGCGTGATTGCCTCTCACCCCAGCAGGCCTGGGTTCAATCCCAGTCGGCGCCGCTGGGATGTTCTGAGGCATAAGAGCTCCGATCACACCTTCCTTCGGAAGGGAAGCACAGCCGTTGGTCCCAGGGTCCAGATAAGTAAGGTCCAGGTGTGGGAGCTGCCTCCCTGGCGTCTGTAGCATTGGTGCTCAGCACGGAAAACAAGATCGACGGAAAACAAATCAAGGAAAAATAGAGAGCTTCATTGCAGTCCCATTAACTTTACAACAATTGTAGGATCTTTTGAGCTGTTCTGAGGAATTAAAGGAAATGCTGAGAATTTCAGTGAAGCTCCATAAACAAACTGCGAGAACATAAGGGAAGTTAACACGCTGAAAACATGGGGAACTTACTGGATGCTTTAAGAACCGAAAATTTTCAGGAACTTTTATGAAGTTCCTAGAATTTCAGAGAACATCACTTGTGTCAAACGAACTTGAGAAATATAGAAAACTTGAGGGATACTGTGCAAATTTTTAAGAAGTTCTAAGCACCTCAGAAAAGCTAGATTTAGAAATCCTTGGGGAATTTTAGATCTTAAGAGCAGTTCCCGTAACTTTAGTCCAGACTTTCGGAGCAGTTTAAAGATCTATTATCTTAAATTTTGAAAAATTCAGGATAGTTCCATGATGTGCTGAAAAAAAAATCGCAAACCCTCAAGATGCTCCGAGAATTTCAGGGAAGTACGGAGACCTTCAGAAAATTTATGAAAACTTCAGAAGTCCAGGGAGATCTTCAATAGAATTGAAAGCTTTAGGGAAGCTTCGAGAACATCAAGACAGATCAGATAATCAAAGAGCAGTTCAAATTATTTCAAGGAAATCGTAGAAACCTTAAAGAAGTTTCGAAAAACTCAGGGAATTTCCGGAAACTTCAGCAAAGCTCCGAGAGAATTTTTGGAACGTGATAAAAATTATATGAACATCCGGAAAACGTAAGGGTATTTTAAGGGTGTTATATTATAGAGATTTCAAGAACTTAAAATAAATGAAAAATTTAGCTAAGTTGATCTTGAAAAAAATCCAGAGAACTTCTAATAAATTTGGATATTTTTAGATAGTTTCATGATATTCAGCGAAGTTCCGAGTGCTTCGAGGACGATCAGATAGCTTCAGAATAATCCCTTTATTTTAAGCAAGTTTGCAGCGACTTACAAGGAGTTCCGTGGAATTATGGGCTATTCCAAGAATTCTATGATTGATCTGAAAACGTCAGAAGCGTCAGAGAAATATGAATATATATATATCAGAAAAGATTAAAGGGTTTTACGGCTCTATCAGTCTTTTAAGTGCAGCAAAAACGTTATATTGCTTCAACTCTGGTCCACGTACCTCATCTTTCCAGCAGAATCGAAAGGCAGGAATATCAAAACATACGTCTGTCGAATCGAAATACTCACACCGTCAACGATATATTCAGCAAGACTAAGGACCCAGTCCCTCCTGTAAACCAAACAAACGTCATATACCAGATACCATGCAAAGACTGTCCTGCATGCTATATTGGGATGACGAAAATCAAACTCGACACCAGAATGTACGGACATAAACAACACCAATCTTCAAGACCCAGGTTTCACGCCTCTAGCCGAGAAAACAGCACTCTTGCAGCTCAGCATCGAGAACAACCACCGTTTTGATCTAGGGAAAGTGACAATTATAGATAGACACGACAAAGAATACGCATTACCACTATTAGAAATGTATCACTTTCCCAATAGTCAAAACAGTATAAACAAACGCACATACACAGAAAGTTTGAACGTAGTATATGCGGGGATTCTACATGCTCTCAAAAACAATACAAATATTAACACAATCAATAGCAGACAAACCACAACTCAATAACACACTATACAGATAAAACATCTCAGAAATACACACAAACAGAAAGTGAGAAGCAGCACAATTGCCACACGAGTTTCCAATCCTACCGTAAAACTTTATCCCAGAACAGTTGCTCAGGTAGTGTTTTTAAAACAAACCGAAAAAATAACCTAACGAAACAGGAAAACACAGAGTTGTGAAAACCGCGCTTAGTATGTTGGGTGTAGAGTAGAGTACAACAAGAATTAAATCTAACCGAATTTGTATTGTAGCCGTAGATGGACGCCATTAATAATCACGCATAAACTTAACAAAAACAGGTAGCCTCTGTAAGCCACACAACCAACACAATCCTATGCAATTTTCTAAATCCTCTTCATGTATAATTGTAGAAATCCTTGAAAATGGTGAAATATAGCATATCACCGA